AACCGCAAAATTATCAACACTTTTTAATTGTTATGAATGGCCCAATAATGTTAAAGCCCAGAAACAGAGTATAAAGCTTTTTATACTATTTTAAAGGTGGAAGTGTTGGGAGCAGAGAGATCAGATCAGAGAGAGCAATGGAGTACCGCAAAATCAAAGACGACGACGATGAGGTTCCTTCTCATCTCTTTCTCTTGCTTTCAATTAGGGTTTCTTGTACAACTCTCAGTAATGTACTTTAATCTTCAGGACGCTTCTGATGTCGAGAGTTTGAAGGGAAAATCTCACACCGGTGAGCTTATTATTCTTTTTCTTTAAACCTCATTTTGTTGTATGATATGATGCTCATTGGTGATATTCGAGATTTTAACAGTTGCTTCGAGTAACATCGCTCTGGCTACTCTTGGTACTGGTGGATCCACTGAGCGTATAAACTGGAAACGAAAGTAAAGTTTCTTTTTTTTCTTTTTTTTTTTGGTAAAGTTATTTTTTTTTGTGATTAAAAGAGTTGATTGGTGGTGTGGGCAGGGGTGTAGTCACATGTGCACTCACTATTCTCACGAGCTCTCAAGCTATACTCATCGTTTGGTCTAAACGAGCTGGCAAGTATGAGTACAGTGTCACAACCGCCAACTTCTTGGTCTGTATTTGATGCCCATTGAATGTGATGTCAGTGTATCTTTCAAGCTATAGCAACTTTGTGTAGTAATATCTCGTTTTTTTCTGAACAGGTTGAGACTCTGAAATGTGCGTTGTCTCTGCTTGCATTGACAAGAATATGGAAAAATGAAGGTGTTACTGACGACAATAGGTTATGCCTTCTCTTCTTCGGATACTCGAGTATTATACTTATGGGTTTTCCCACTAGCATCATCTTCACTTAGTTTCCTTTTATGTTCAGAGTTGTAATCACGTACTATCTTTACCTGTGGCTTGTATTTCTGATTGAAATTTTTGGCCTTACTGATACTCAAATTAATGTTTTTGATATCAGGTTAAGCACAACATACGACGAAGTTAAAGTCTTTCCCATTCCTGCTGCTTTGTATCTTTTCAAGAATCTCTTACAGGTTTGGCTTTCCTGATTTTTTTTTTTTTGGCTTTAGGTCAATGTTTGTAGTTTCTATGTTAATCAGTTTCTAACTAATTAGTGGTGTATAAACCTTTTTGCGTGGCAGTATTATATTTTCGCGTACGTTGACGCTCCAGGATATCAGATATTGAAGAACCTGAACATCATAAGTACTGGTGTCTTGTACAGGATTATACTTAAGAAAAAGTAGGTTGTTTATTCTTCCAAATGGATTTCATTACTCTTTCTCTTCTTGTTCAAAACACAGATGCTTGATGTCAACTACGAACAGGCTCTGCTAATTCCTTTCTTCTTTAACAGGTTGAGCGAGATTCAATGGGCGGGTTTCATCCTATTGTGTTGTGGATGCACCACTGCTCAGTTGAATTCAAAGTAAATTTCTCTCGCTCTTGGCATTTCCCCCTTTGATTGTGTTACTGCTATCAACATAGGTTTCACTGATTCGTTCATATGTGCATGTCTAACTCTCCACTGATTTTTATTACATATCCTCATATTGGATATTGCTTTTTCAGTTCTGATCGTGTACTTCAGACATCTCTTCCTGGTTGGATTATGGCAATTGTAAGTTGTTACTCACGTAACTCACCTTAGTATTGCTAATACCTACAAAGAGTAGTGAAGCTTCTTTCACGTGCACACCAATTGATATGATTGTTTATCTTGTTTCTAGGTTATGGCTCTATTAAGTGGTTTCGCTGGAGTGTACACAGAGGTGAGCTTATCAGGAACTTTCACTCATAAGCTAGCACTGATTTACTACTCCCTTTTCTATCTTGTAAGTATTTTGCTTTCCATTTTGGTAGGCTATTATAAAAAGGCGGCCTTCAAGGAATATAAATGTACAAAACTTCTGGTTATATGTCTTCGGGATGGTTTTCAATGCTGTTGCTATAGTGTTCCAAGATTTCGATGCTGTTGCTAATAAGTAAATCTAAACCCCATTTCTTGATTTTGTCCTTTATTATTGGCTACAAATTAGTTCATCTGCTCTGGTATTGAATGTGCAAGTTTTCCAATTTCAGGGGATTCTTCCATGGTTACTCATTCATCACAGTACTCATGATTCTTAACCATGCTCTCAGGTAAATTCTTACTTTAGAAACCAGACTCTTCTCGTAGCTCTAGTTTCAGTTAGTGAAGTTAACGCATTAAAAACACTGTTCTCCTGTCGTTTTTTCCAGTGGGATTGCTGTGTCAATGGTGATGAAATATGCAGACAATATCGTAAAGGTAGTAAAATTTCGTTCTCCATCAGATTCCCCTAACTAGTCACTTTTGTAGACGGAGTTTGAACTTTATCAATCGTTATGTAGGTTTATTCAACATCAGTGGCAATGCTTCTCACCGCTGTTGTCTCTGTGTTCCTCTTCAATTTTCATCTTTCCCTTGCCTTCTTTTTGGGTTCAACGTAAGTTAATACAGTTGGACAAAACAATCAATCATCTCAACTTTTCGTATCTTATCAAAAGTAGTCCATCATTTATGGACATAAGAGCTGATGCATTACTGTGCTTATGCTTTGCAGGGTTGTGTCTGTTTCAGTATATTTGCATTCAGCCGGGAAGCTACTATAGTAAAAGAAACATCTCTGAACTGTCACTATTCTCTAGTACAGAGTTAAAGCTTTTGAACAATTGCGATTTTGTATTTCGTGTATATTTGATATACATTACTGTCTAAAAGTGAAGCTATAATGTTGAAAATATTGCATTTTATATATTAGATCATTCATTCTTTACCTTTGTCTACACGTTTTCCACTTATACTTGCTTATTGTTAATCAACATTACGTGTTCTTGAGTCTTAAGAGTTAAGAAACTACATGAGATAAATAGCCTTGCTCCACAAATGAGGCAATGCAGTCATCGAACATCTCTTCAAGGGACTTGAACTTGAGTCCGAGACTCTCTATCTTCGAAGTGTCAAAGTCATAATGCAGCCTATCTAGTTTCTCAAACCTGTTCAAAGATAAGATTATTTCATTGTATTCAAAGCATAGAAAAGTCTTGAGAAAAAAGGGTTTTAAAGATCAGCGTCTCATAACCTCTTGGGGATAGGGAGTGATGGGTAACGTGTGGATAAGAAGGAAACTAGTTCCTCTAGCGTGACAACTTTAGAGCTACAAATATATCTGCCTTGAGCAGCTTCGTGTTCGAAAACTAGGATGTGGGTTCTTGCCACGTCGTCTATATGAACATACCCCATCTGTCCATGCCATTGAAACTTCTCTGTTTCTCCTGTTGTGTTGAATAATAACAAAATCATAAGCATCTGCTACTAATACTAGTGATGTTGCCAAGAGAGTAAAGTACCTTTAAGCAGCCCGAGGACATCGGATGCTGTAGAGCACAGATCACGAGGCAGGCTTGGTCCAACGAGGAAGGATGGTAGAACAGTGACAAGGTCAATACCATTCTCTTCGCAGAACTTCCATGCAGCTTGCTCGGCTAGTGTCTTTGATAAAGCATACCAGACCTTTTATTTTGCCATGTCGCATCACAAACTGTTAGCTGATATATGATTCTTGTTGTTGAGAAAAAAAAGACTATTCAAATGATTATACCTGGAAACGCTTACAGAGTTCAACAGAGGTCCAAACAGATTCATCAAGAGGGATATTAGGATTAAAATCATCTCTGATCCTAACTGTTGAAGAGGATGAGGTGAGAACCACACGCTTCAATGACTGATTCTTCCTGCATGATCTCAGTACATTCAGTGTACCCTCTATAGCTGGTTTCAAAATCTCCTCCTATGATCAGATCACAATATGTTAAAATGTTACACAAAGCATACTGTGTGACCAGAAGGAAAAAAAAAACTTGTAGTGGCAATCATGCCTCTGGATTAGAGGTAGGTTTGAGGACAGGAGAAGCAGTATGGAAAACTCCATGGCATCCCTTTATGGCTTTATCAAAGCTTCCTTCTTCCATTAAATCAGCTTTCACCAACCTTAGTCTCTCCTTTGCTCCTTCCAGTTTCCAAAGGTGTGCAAGCTTCTTCTCATTTCCTGTGGAAACGAGAAGACTTAAACTGAGTCTCACTTTTGGCTAAGCTTATTACCATTTTAAAGCAATGACAAGATGGATAGACAAACCTGGATCTCTGACTGTTCCTATAACTTCATAACCCTCATGGAGAAGCCTCTTCACAAGCCAAGAAGCTAAGAAACCTGAAGCTCCGGTAACACAAACTTTTCCTTTTGGTTGATCCATTCTCTGATAACGATGGAATCACACTAGACTAGTTATATAGCAATACCAAGGTAAAGGTAAGTATGGATTAGGTAGATCATGTAACTCATGTGAGGTTTTGCTTATTCATCACAAAGCTAGTTTTTATGAAGGTTGTTCAACCACCACAATGGCCTGACTAATATTTTCTCTATGAAACAAGTTCTCCATGTTCTTGATTTTTCAGACGATGGATTTCAAGAAAATGCAGAGTTTCCTTCTATGGAAACTAATCTTCCTCACAATACAAAATTAGAGGAAAAGGCAACAGTTATGATTGTTGACAGTCTCCAAGTAGTGAGAGCTATCTCAATATGATATAAGCCAAGTAGAAATTTACAAAAGTAGACAAATTTACAAAAGTAGACAAATTTACAACGTCTGGTTTATCCGATAGTCTGATCTTAACGGATCATAAATTAAATCTGACGTGGCTCAAGCTCCTACGCTACAAGTCAGCTAATTAAGTCTGGTTTATATTGGTTTAGTTCCATTTGATCGGTTTAATCAAATTTTTACAATCCTAAAAACCCTAATCAAAATATATTTATTTACCATGTGATTAGACTGGGCCTAAATAGCGCGTAAGATATTGGGCTTACACTAAACAAATAAAAGCCTCTTACCATTATGGTTCAAACTCCAATAGGAAGAAGCAGTGGCTGTTGTGTCTCGTCTTCTTCCCAATCCAATCCATTACAGCTGACGTAATAATAATAATTAATCGACATATAAAAAATTATTTTATTAAAGATTAAAAAAAAAAAAAGATTTTATCTGTTGTCTTCGTCTCTCTTGTGCGCTTGCCACCACAACGTTGTCTTCTCGGGCTACTCATCATATCTCTTTGATTGGTCTCGCCTCCGTCTTTTCATCGTCTTCTATCTCTATTTTCTTACTGCATCCTTGTTTTTTAACTCTAGTTTTTTCTTCTGTATAGGGTTTAAGTTTTATCTAATGGCTTCCAATCCAGACAAGAATCTGTCTCCTTCAGGTAACCTTTGCTTTCACCAATCTCCTCCATATAATAATAATACAGTTTGATCTGGTATTGAATCGTTTCTGAGTTTATAGAATTGTATTTTGGATTCTCACTGTAGATGATAAACCGGAATCAGATAACAAGAGTCCTAAACCGGAATCAGAGAGCAAGAGTCCTAAACCGGAATCAACAGCTTCATCAGCTAACCCTGGCTTAAATTTCAATGCTTTTGATTTCTCTAATATGGCTGGTATCCTCAACGTAAGTGTGTTCACTTTCTTGTAGCAAAGTTATCTTCTTTGGAGCTTTTTTTTACTGATGGTGTTTTTTTTTTGTTTCAGGATCCAAGTATCAGAGAATTAGCTGAGCAGATTGCTAAAGATCCTGCCTTTAATCAGTTAGCTGAGCAGCTTCAGAGATCTATTCCAAACGCAGCTCAAGGAGGTGGAGCAGGAGGTGGTGGGTTCCCTAACATTGATCCACAACAGTATGTTAGTACGATGCAGCAGGTTATGCATAACCCTGAGTTTCAGACTATGGCTGAGCGTCTTGGTAACGCCTTAGTGCAGGTGAAACACAATATTAGGACAATACGTTCCGTTTTTTATTTCTTTCTGGTTATTGAGTTATGGCTTGGAATGAATCTGTTTCTGTTTTTGTCTTCAGGATCCACAAATGTCTCCTTTCTTGGAGGCTTTCTCAAACCCTGAAACAGCGGAGCATTTTACTGAGCGTATGGCGCGGATGAAAGAGGATCCAGAGTTGAAACCTATACTTGATGAGATTGATGCTGGTGGTCCTTCTGCTATGATGAAGTCAGTGATATACAATCTTTTGTTTTTCTTTTCTGAATGTTTTTTTAGAACTTTTTTTTGCTAATGGAGGAAGGTTTTTTTTAATATGGTATTTTTTAGGTATTGGAATGATAAAGATGTGCTGAAAAAGCTTGGTGAAGCAATGGGTATGCCTATTGCTGGCTTGCCAGATCAGGCTGCTTCCGGTGAACCCGAGGTTGCAGTAGAAGAAGGCGAAGAAGAAGAAGAGTCTATTGTTCATCAAACCGCCAGTCTTGGTGATGTTGAGGTTAGACTGCTTCCTACTTTGTTAAACTGCTCACATGCTTGATTGACCATTTGGGGTTTTATCATTTTTGTTGCTTAAAGATTAGGTAGAAACTCTATTCCAAATTCAAACTTGTCTTGTTGATTGAATTAGGGTTTGAAAAATGCTTTGGCGTCTGGTGGTAACAAAGATGAAGAAGATTCTGAAGGAAGGACAGCATTGCATTTTGCTTGTGGATACGGCGAGGTATCTTATCAATCTATGGCAATTTAATATTCCTATACAGGTTTTTCTCTTTTTTTGTTTGATTAGCTGCTGAAGTTAAGTATCTTTATCATTCATTCACTTGGTAGACAAGTAACCAGCCTACTACACTTAGGAGTTTTCATTACACAATTACTTGTAGCATGGTTAATATTTAGTCAAAGAAGAATGAGATAGAAATAAGATTAGCGATTACTTCCACTTTTTAAACTTTGTTTATAGCTAATGGATTATATTGAGATTTGACTCCATTGATGATCTCTTTCCGCAGTTGAAATGTGCTCAAGTTCTTATCGATGCTGGAGCAAGTGTTAACGCCGTTGACAAAAACAAGAACACACCTCTGCATTACGCTGCTGGTTATGGGAGGAAAGAGTGTGTAAGCCTTCTCCTTGAGAATGGTGCTGCTGTGTAAGTCTCACAACACAACACTTATAGAGAAACGACTCCACTAATACCCTTTTATTAAGACCCAAGTTATATATATACGCTGTGTATGGTTCGCAGGACTCTTCAAAACCTAGACGAGAAGACACCTACTGATGTGGCCAAGCTCAACAACCAGCTCGAGGTGGTGAAGCTGCTCGAGAAGGATGCTTTCCTTTGAGCATGGATGCTATGATATTGCCTTTGATGGATCTGTCTTGTGTTGTGTCTCTTGAACCAATTTCACAGACCTCTCTGTATACTTCTTTTTCTAATTTCACTAGTTACTACTCTCTCTCTCCTTCTAAACTTGTCTCCTATGGTATTTTTGATTTCATCAAAAGTCAATAAAGAAAGAAAGAGCAATCCATGTTTTCACTTCTCATAATTAGTTTACTTTTGTAACAAAATTTTCAAGAATCATTTTGGTTTGAAAGATATGTATTAAGACCAAACTACTTCATACCAAAGTGATTCTATTCTTTTGTGTACTGTTGTCTGAAAATTCCCTATGTCGGAAGCTTTCCATATTTATACACAAGCTTCCAAATCAAATTCTATAGTTTATATATTATTAAAAAATAGTTAAAGTCCTGTCTCTTGTTCTTATACATATACGTTCGCAATGAATTGCATGCATCGTTCGCGCTTTTTAATAAAGTCTTTGCTAAGCAGAGCACGAGGCATTGCACGTCTTGGATCCACTCTCTCTCAGCCGCAACCACCGTCGTCTCTCTCCTCCACCGTCATGAGTAGACGTGAAACTCACACAACAAGACTCTGCATCGTCGGTAGTGGTCCAGCGGCTCACACGGCGGCTATCTACGCAGCTAGAGCTGAACTTAAACCTCTTCTCTTTGAAGGATGGATGGCTAACGACATAGCTCCAGGCGGTCAACTAACAACCACCACCGACGTTGAGAACTTCCCTGGCTTTCCAGAAGGTACGCTAGTCCATAGTGCACCACCCAAACGATAGTTTAGGTCATATTGTATGAATCAGGGCCATGTAGAGAGGTCGGACCCGGATATAAAAATAAAAAATTATTAAGATTTTTTCAAAAATATATACGTAATTATGGTCTAAAACTTTAATTTAGATATACTGGTAAATTTAAAACTTTTAATTTAAAAAAACGTCAAACATATAAATTAATTGATAGAGTATTAACTTTAAGATAATTACTTCATTACATCGTTAAATTTACCACTAGTAGGAGTTGAGCATATTTAATTTAATTTTTCATTTAATTTTTTAGTTAGTAATATGTAAACATAATTCATATTTCTTTTATAAATGTAAAAAAAATAGTTGTTCATAATTTAATTTTTCATATAATTTTTTAGTTAGTAATATGTAAACATAATTCATATTTCTTTTATAAATGTAAAAAAAATAGTTGTTCATAATTTAATCTTTCATATAATTTTTTAGTTAGTAATATGTAAACATAATTCATATTTCTTTTATAAATGTAAAAAAAAAATAGTTGTTCATAATTTTCTGAAGGTATCCTCGGGGTAGAGCTCACAGAGAAGTTCAGGAAGCAGTCAGAGAGATTCGGTACGACTATTTTCACCGAGACGGTGACTAAAGTCGACTTCACGTCGAAGCCGTTTAAGCTGTTCACAGACTCCAGAGCCGTTCTTGCAGACGCTGTGATTCTCGCTACTGGAGCTGTGGCTAAGCGGCTTAGCTTCCCTGGCTCTGGTGAAGGCTCTGGAGGTTTCTGGAACCGTGGAATCTCAGCTTGTGCTGTCTGCGACGGAGCTGCTCCTATATTCCGTGACAAGCCTCTTGCGGTTATCGGTGGAGGCGATTCGGCGATGGAGGAGGCTAACTTCCTCACCAAGTATGGTTCCAAAGTGTATATAATCCATAGGAGAGACGCTTTTAGAGCTTCCAAGATTATGCAGCAGAGAGCTTTGTCGAATCCTAAGATCGTTGTGATTTGGAACTCGAAGGTTGTGGAGGCTTATGGGGAAGGGGAGAGAGGCCTTCTTGGAGGGTTGAAGGTGAAGAATGTGGTTAGTGGAGAGGTTTTGGATTTGAAAGTTTCTGGATTGTTCTTTGCGATTGGTCATGAGCCAGCTACGAAGTTTCTTGATGGTGCTGTTAAGCTTGATTCTGATGGCTATGTGGTGACTAAGCCTGGTTCTACACAGACTAATGTTGCTGGAGTTTTTGCGGCCGGTGATGTTCAGGACAAGAAGTATAGGCAGGCGGTAACAGCTGCCGGAACTGGTTAGTTATCTACATCTTCCTTAACTTTGTAGTGTTTGAGTTGTGTTTCTAAAATGAATGTTGTAACAAGTGGCATTAGCTCATAGACATGATCTAGTGACGTTGAGACAAATAAGATTATGATGTGGTTTTGTGTTAATAAAATTATAGGCTTTCATTTAGAACCTCTTGGTAATCTAAAGAAATGGTTATTGTTAGTTATTTTAATGTTTAGCTATTTGAATTTGTGTTTAATGTGTGTTTTAAGCTCATCTGCAACCTTGTGGCTTCCATTGCAAGGAACAAATTTGTGTTCTTGAACTTCGTATTTTTATAACATGTAGTTCAATTAAAATTTGATGCAAGCTAAGGTTTTGTGTTTGGAGTAAGTCTTAGCTGAGTGTGTTGTTTTGCTTGGCTTAGGAGTTAGTAGAGAGCATTAATTGTTACATACTCACTCTGTTTAGTTATGTGTCTAAAACACCTTCTCATCACAACTCGTTTGATTGATTGTAAAGGATGCATGGCAGCTTTGGATGCGGAGCATTACTTACAGGAGATTGGATCTGAGCAAGGTAAGAGTGATTGACAAATGCTCAGATCAAGCGTTGGTGATATAGCTAACTGTTACTGATGCAAATATATTCGGTAAACATGATTTGAGCCATGCAAGACATAGAAATGATTTGTCCAAAACTACCTACTAATGCAAATTAAATACTTTATAATAATACAAACATGTGTTTATAGAGATGGTTAATGTACGCATAATTTAACCATAAGGTTAACCTAACTATACCAGAAAAATCTGAACCATATATATAGAATACTATAGAACATTCGAGTATATAAATTTCATCGTTTTTAATATATGATGTTTAGCCTTCTATAGTGTTTAGATTTCTTTTTTTTTTTTTTTTTGATAACCCAGTATCCGACTACAAAGCGTGATCGACTAGCCCACCGGGCCTAAGCCCATGCCATGACAGGATTTTTAAGCGTCCACTTAAGGGTCCCTGGTTAGGCTAAGTGGTCTGGAGCGCCACACCAACTCCGCATGTAAATTATGTGGTGGCCGGGGTTCAAAGTCGGGTGGCGGACACCTCAGCCGAGGTTCCTTTACCACCAGGCTACGAAGCCCGGTTAGTGTTTAGATTTCTTGTTCTTTACAACTCTACAAATCAAATTCCTTTTATTTCATTTTATTTTAACCTGCAATGATTATAGAAAAATTGCACCCTATATACATACAAAAAACACAAATGCACAACTAACTAAAATTCTCCCATCTCTCCTACTTTTTCTTCTTATCTCTCTTTACTCTCTTTCCCAAAATCTTTTTTTCTTTTTTTTCTTGGTTATTTGGCAAAAAGTCCCCATCTTATAATTTGTTTTTTTCTTTGATTATTGAGTCTCGTAGAAGAAGTTAAATTTAAACAGTAAATATCCAATTAAAGTGAACTATATTATTCATTCAAGGCACCATATATGATATACCTGAGTTGTTGAGTCAAAGACTTGTGTTTAAACTTTAAATGGATGAGACTTCCTGACACACTTGATTTTATTAAATTTACTTGTTCACAAGTCTATGAAATGAAATGAACTCCACCCGTGACAGTAAAACAAGTCTCTGAAACCTTTAATTTAGGATGTAAGTTTCCGACAAGGCGACAACATGCCAAACGTGAGTCTCTAATCTCTCAATACTACTGCTTCGAGTTAGAGGCTCTAATTTGTTCAGCTTAAAATATCTAAATTTAATGTGGTTTCTTTAATGCAGATTGTGTGTATCCAATACATTGCAAGAGATTTGCCATGACGAGGCCGGTAAAAAGTTAAGATAGATAGTAGATTAAAAGGGACATGTAAACTGTGAACACTAAAAATAAGTAGGTAAAAAAGGTTAGGGAATATTAAGTCATTTGAGAGATGAAGTGAAACTTTGAACTCTATACTACTTTATTGACTATGACAAAAGATAGTAGGAGGAAATACCTCTATCTATAAGTTAAAGATATAAATACATTTATTTTTCTCTTGTACTTTAAACCTCGGACCATCCTCTCTATCGAAACTTTATTTTATTCTTCTTAGTTTATTAGTTGATTGGATGTATATATTCGTGATCATCTCCATCTAAGAAGAAAATATTCGTGAAAGCAAACCTTCACTTTACACTATACACATTATACGCTGAAAACTAAATGACTATCAAAGAAACTGAAACACAAAAGTTGGAAATATGTTCTAGTACTTTACACTATAATTTTTTCTGAGAATATTTATCAAATAATGTTAAAAATACGTACGTAGAAACCAGCTTTTCCAAAAAGGGTGAAAATACGCTGTATTAGACAAGAAAATACAGAAAAAGTTGGGCAAAAGTGAGCTATTTGTAGACGACAAAGAACATTAAAAAGCGAAGTTAAATGATAAAAAGTGTTTTATAATAAATATTTTCGAGGAAAAAGAAAGAAAAGAGATAAGGCATAATATTCCATGAAGTGAAATTGAAAGGTTGGATAATATTGGGGCTTGTCATGCGTTTCTAGTGTCTATGAGTTGGGTGGTACGTTTATCGTTTCGTTTCAGATATTCCTCTTTCTCCAGCTTTTCCCCTTTATCACTTTAGTTTTATTCCCACTATTTATATTTTTCACAAAGTGATGTTAGTCTGGCTGCATTTGATCGTCTATCTCTAGGTTAAACACAAGATAAAAAATAATAAAAATGAATGAAGGTATGTGGAACTTATAATCACAACTACAAATTAATTAGTCTGTGTGTTTAACCTTGTCGATATCAATGTGTGAAATTAGTTATATTCTCACACAAGTAACCATTAAAAAAACTGCGAAGATAACTATCTGAATCTATAAGTATAGACTGTATAGTCAATTAGTCAAATATAGTCGAATTACTATGATGGTGAATGGATGTTGTGTCATGTGGTGCCGTCAACTTTATGTTTGTTCAATATGGAGTATTTGCAGATATTTTGAGATATTTTGTTAGATCAATAAATGTTTGTTACATTAATTTATCCTCATCAACTTGCAATCTTGCAATCACAAAAAATTATGTAAACCCGTGAGTAATAAAGTACGTCAATCCATAAATGAAAAAGGTTGAATTGCTATAATGGTGTAAGAGAGCCTAACAAATTAATTTCAATTAATTTATGTTTCTTTTTTTGTCAACTTCCTAATTTGTGTTTTTATGTTTGATATTTTGGAGATATTTTGTTAGATAGATATTTTGAGAATATAATTGTTAGGTACGCACAATTCTGTGGGATTATATGATGAAGTTGAAAATAAATGACAAAAGACATCTGTGGCGTGTTATGTGATCGATTTGTATAGTCGTTTTTTACTTCTTTCACGTTATAGAATCAAATACCACAAGTCTGCAATTTTGTATATTTATGGTCATTGGATGAAAACCAACTTGTAAATTTCTCTGCTTATTCGTATTGAATGAAAGTGGGACTATACATCTTTCTTTGAATCATGATTAAATATGAGAAATACATTTAAACACACTCACACGTTTATTCATTTAATTCACCTATTCGTAAGAACTTAGTTAAATATCACAGTCAGTCCATTGTTAGCAGTAGCACTGAATATTTAACTAGTTTCATGTTGGAATTACAGTTTCGCTAAACCATCAAACAAATTAATTGACACTTTACTACTTGTGCCGTTACTTTTTCATAAAGGAAATAACTTTGTTGACAAAAAGTTAATTTGTACTCGGCTAAAGTCATCTGTCGGAAAAAGATAAACGACCAATCACTTGCTAGATACTTTGCAAAACATTACACGGAAATTAAGGTAATAGTACATATTTTTCAGTTCCAAATAATTCTTTTAGGTCTTTATTCTTTTTTCTTTTGGCTTCTGTGCTCACACGGATTCACATGACCAACTCTCTTGTCATTGCTCATGTTGTCCACATCAGTTAAAACTTAAATATACTTAAAAAATTACTTTTACCCAAATTGTGATTTTCTTGAAAAGAAATTAACATGTCGAAATTAGAAACATACATCTGATTGATTCAGATTCAGAACAGTGTTACAAAGGACACTAGACATAGATCGAAGTAACTAAAAGACCTCTAGTTCCTAATTAATTAAGAGGATAATTTACTTTTAATCATGCCGATAACTTTTCAATTATCAAATTAGTCTAAATAAACTTTTCAAGGAAGAAAAGCCTGAATATTAGCGGAACTGAACTGTGAAGGAGGAAGAGTCTGATCTTTGACCTGAGTCTCCGCCGTGGAAGCGTGAAGTCCACACCGATCACACTTCACCGGAACCAAAATTCTACGACAAGAAGGACACGACGACCGAGAAGTCAACCACTTGTCTATGCACGCCACGTGGAAAGCGTGGCTACATAGCGGCAGGATCCTGATCTCTTCTCCGTCTGAAAACTCCGTTAAGCATATAGCGCACTCGGTGGTTGATTCTCCGTCTCCGGCGGAGGAGCTCGGCGAGTCTGCGGCGGTGAAGGTGGACTTAGGGAGGGACTGGAGAGCTTTTTTCTTGAGGCCTTTGCTCGGCGGCGGAGATTCTCTTACGGCGGAGAAATTAACGCCGGCGATACGGCGGAGCCAGGCGCAGCGAGCTACTGCGGCTAAGCCGGATACGCATATGAGAGCGCAGAGGAGAGCTGAGAGGATCACGATCATGTCGGTTTCCGCGGCTAGGATTTCTTCAGGTGGTGGCGGCGCCGCCGCTGATCCGAGGAATCTAGTGGAGCGTGTCATGTTGTTTTGAAGAGAAAGATGAAACGTGAAAGTGGTGAAGATAAAGAATCTGTTGTTGTTTAGAGAGGAAGAAGAATCTGATCCAACTAGTAATAATAGAGAGACACACATACACATCTATACTTATATGTCTGATTGCTGATAATAAATAATTATTAAATCCATGTCATATCGGCAGAATTATTTGTATGAAAAGAAAATAAAGTAGTTTTACAACTTCTACAAAAGAATTTAAAAAGGAGACTGAAGTATCCATAAAGCCAAACATATTTGCATATTTACTAAGAGTATAAGTCTGATTTATCTAAATATGTCTTCATTTGTATCTATACTATTATTTAAGAAGTAATTTTGTTTAATTGTCATGTTCTCCATAAGTTTAAGAATTTTGTTTATTTATCATACTTTTAATATTTATATATAATTTATTTATAAATAAAATGAATTTATATGAATATAACATATTTTTAGAAAACAAGACAATTCTTGTTAATAATGTTGTTATCTTGAACTATATTTCTCTATATAAAACTTAAATTCTAAATTAAGATAGAAAAATTATTCTATGTATTATATAACTAAAACGAATTTATATCAATAATTTTATATTTTTCTAAAATACGAGAATTTTTATGTATTATGTTGTTATGTTGAAAATATATTTTCCTATTATAAAACTTAAAATTATGATATAAATTATATTAATGATATTTAAATATAAATAATTAAAAAAATATTTGAAAAGTGAATTTGTTGATTTATTAACTTCTCTATGATCCTATGGAATTTTGATCATTTATCATAATTTCTTTCATTTTGTTTATTATTTATTATATAATTAAAACTAATTTATATTAATAATATGATATTTTAGAAAATAAGTTAATTCTTATGTATTATGTTGTTATCTTGAAAATATATTTTTATTATAAAATTTAAAATTAAAATGTAAAAATCTGTACGGTTATTTAAGAAGTGAATTAGATATTTGCTGATTTGTCATATTTTCCATGATTTTAGGTAACTTTGATAATTTATCATAATTTCTATAATTTTATATAAAAATTATTATATATTTAAAATAAATTTATATTAATAGTATCAGACTTTTAGAAAATAAGATACTTCTTATGTATTATGTTGTTGTCTTGAAAATATATTTTTCTATTAGAAATTTAAAATTAAGATATAAAAAGTTGTAGTTATTTTATAATTAAAATAAATTTACACTAATAATATTATACTTTTAGAAAATAAAGTAATTCTTATGTATTATGTTGTCATTTTGAAAATTTATTTTTATATTATATAGTTTAAAAGTAAAATAGAAAATATCTATTTAGTAATAAATATAAAATCATCACTCAATCAAAATTATTTAAGAAGTGAATTTGCTAATTTGTTAAGTTCTCCATGATTTTAAGTAATTTAATTATATTTCATCATTTCTATAATCTTATATAATTAAAACGAGTTTATCATATTATATTTTTAGAAAATAAATAACTTATGCATTATATTGTTATCTTAAAAATATGTTTTTCTTTTGTAAAATTTAAAATTAAGATATAAAATTATAATATTATAATTAAATATAAATCAAGCAAAATAATTATAGAAATATTCTTTTAAATATTTCTGATGTTTGAATTTTTCCATTTATAATTATTTGATGTTTGATTTGTACTTTTTGAAAACATAAGTAATAAACTAATGAAACGTCAACCAATAAATATTCATAAGAGAATTATGTACGCACTTGCGGGCAAAACATCTAGTAAGTTTATTGTAGTATATCATTTGAACATTGAATATATAGCTGTGTGTTTTTTTTCATCTGGAGGTTTTTATTGACAGTATTGTTGGATAAAAAACAGAAAATGCCAGAATCATTACATAAAAAACTAATTCGTGGTTAAGGTACATTAATTAAAAAAAATTATTAACTATGTAATTTTAAAACATCCCAATGTAAGTAGCATGAGATATTAGAAAGTTAGGAACATGTGTCAACATAAATACGGCAGCTCAAATTAACTATTACTATCATTGTATCATATAAAACTAGTTTAGATATTAATAAATTTGGAAATATCGTAATCGTGTACCAAATCATTCCCTTATTATAAACAAGAATCAAATTGCCGTATACTATTAAGAATCAATCAGAGAAAAAGATGGGTAGGTGTGGGCACTCTTTATAGGTTTAATTGACGAACTCATCATGAAAAGGTATAACAATAAGTTACTTTCTTACCTAAACCTACTTCGACTAGACTCTTTTATTGATTTGTTCTTTCAATTTTAATTCTCTCTATTTTCAGTTCATTTTCTTTGGCATCGAGAATAATACAAAAGATGTGAATTAAAAAGAATACCAAAGATGTGAATACGTGTTTGACCAAGATGGATTAGAACTTACGAGAATAATAACAAGTTTCAAATGAATTGTACACTTGCAATGGAATAACACTTGGTGAGAATACGTGTGATGTGAGTCTTAACGTCTTTTATTGAACCACTATAAGTGAAAAAAGGAAACCGAGTTCATAAACCAATGATTAAAATAACAATACATTCGCACAAGAAGAAAATCAACAATAATGGAGGAGACTTGAAGCATATAAAATGTATAAAAAGAGAAAGGAAAACAACAAATAATGGAAAATCATCAATTATATTGAAGATAAGAGCATCAATGAATGATCCATCGTTTCGGATAACGCCTACATAGATGACGTTTGTCATTATGTGTTGTTTGTTTTTACACAGGTAAATATGCTAAATATATTGTCCTCTAGATCATAGTGTCATTTTTTGTCTAACTTTCACGTTGTATTTTGTGTTTGTTTAATGTACATGTATCCTTTTGTGTATGGACAAGGAATACGACGAGCAGATTTATCTTTTGACAATTTTTTGGACAATATCTTTTGACATATAAATGATAAGAGTCCATGCAATTCCAGCTAAACCAAGATATAACTCGATGCATATATCAAATAAAAAAAAATGATAAGAGGAATGGCCGTGTGCCGTGTGGTTGGTCCTTTTGGACTCTGTTGAAGTACCAAAGGTTGAAAACCTAAATGCCCATAAAACGCAGTTTGAGACTTCGACGAGTTGAACATGGAAGGCAATAAATGAGTCAAAGCCATGCCCTCAAGCTTGTTACGTGTAACGTCTACTATTATATGTGTCCATGTTCGTAACGCAAGCTTCATGTCATTGTCGGCGCGCAAACTATTGTTGACCTTTTGGTCGTGAAACATTAATTTCAACATATATTAGCACATCACGCAACATAAAGATCGATGCAGATGCAGTTGTCATGCCATGATTATAAAAATACTAGGTATGGACCCGTACGTTGCACGGGTTTGTTTATTTTTTTATTTTATGAAAACATAAAAAGAATGAGAAATTTTTTTACATCAATTTTAGAATTTAGGTGTATATTATGGGACACATTTTTGAATTAAGAACCTATTTTGACATAATTTTTAATTTTTCTGCTTCATGTTTTAAAATAGTCAATAATGTTTTTGTTTTTATTAATTGTTCTTTTTTATATTTATTTCACTATAATTAAGTAAAATGAGAAAAAATATAACCATAAATAGTTTTAGTTTGCCATAACCTAGCCCAGTCAAATTAGAAACTCAAATAATATTTACCAAAAGTCTAGAATTGGATTTGTCCGTTGTCAGATTAATACAGTTTGTAGCATTCTTACAATATTGTCAACTTGGCATTATCATTGCAAATCTATAAATTTCATTATCAATTCTTTTTTCAATTATAAAAATGGAAAATTTTTACTAACGAAAAAAGTAGAGAAAATAGTATTAAATAATTTTTAATTTTCATTTTCTTAAAAATGAGATATTTTAACACATATACAATTTAACAAAAAAATTACAATGGAATATTATTTTTAAAAGTTTCATATTTAATAGTCAAAATTATTTTACATATTTGTTTCTTTAGGATTTAAAAAAAAGAATTTTTCTTAAAAAATAATATTAAATAATTTTGAAATTTAGATTTAACATTAAATAATTTTGAAATTATTTGTTTTAAAAATTATTTGTTTCAGAAATTCATTTTTAGTTTCATAGTATATATATTATATCCATGAAATATTCTTACACATGTCGCAATATTAAAAAGAAAATTTTTATGTGACAGTGATGTTATGGTGTGGTGGCAATAACTTTAAATGTACTGCTATGTGACAACTCAGAAGTTTCGATAAAAAGAAAAGACAGAACTCAGAAGCATGACAACGATCAAACAATAATCATGACAACGATCAACCATAACTTTATAAGAAGAAAAGAACATTGAACTTCACCTTATATTTTTCTTGAATCAATAATTATGCTTGGTGATAAAATATGAGAAGTGACCAAATATGAGAGATCTTAGTTCTATATATAGAGATGTGAATAATCATAGTTCCTCTTGGATTATGATATTTTTAATTAGGATTTTAATAAAGGAAAATTAACATTAATCAGTATTTAACATTTATTTCGTCTAAGTTTTTTTAAAAGAATAATGACTATTTAATATTTCTTTTTTTTGTTAATTTTAATTAGATTTGAATAAAGGAAAATTAACTTTATGAGAGTAGAAATATTTTAAAAAGTAAAAATATTTTTTTTACAATTATCTTTTTTTTATTATAAGGGACAATTAGCATAAAATAGTTTTCCATTTTTTCGGTTTATATTTTAAAAAGGATAATTACATTCGGTTCAGAATAGGTTTTGTTAAAATTACAATTACTATGAATTTTTTTAAAAAATTGTTTTATTATAATAAGATTTTTCTTATTTAATAAAGTATTTTAAAAAATCATTTTATTATAATAAGATTCTTTTTTTTTCGTTTTGACCTTTTTAATTAGAATTTGAATAAAATAAAATTAGCATTATGAGAGTAAAAATATTTTTAAAAGGAAAAATATGTTTTTTTTAAATTATCCTTTTTTTATTATGAGAGTAGGAAACTGTTTATGTTTTTTTAAAGGATAATTACTATCTAATAATTTTTTCGTTTTGACCTATTTAATTAGGATTTGAATAAAGAAAAATTAACATTATGAGCGTAGAAATATTTTAAAAAGGAAAAATAAAATTTTTATATAATTTTTTTTACGATTATCTTTTCTTAATTGTAAAGAACAATTAGCATAAAATAGTCTTTATCATTTTGTTTGGTTTATATTTTGAAAAGGATAATTACAATTCAGTTTTGGAATAGGTTTTTTTAAATTAAAATTACTATGAATTTTTTAAAAATCCTTTTATTATAATAAGATTTTTCTTATTTAATAAATTATTTTTAAAAATCATATTTTAATAAAAATTATAAAAAACCGTTTTATTATAATAAAATTCTTTTTTTCGTTTTGACCTTTTTATTTTTAAAAATCGTTTTATTTTAATAATAATTGTAAAAAAGTTTTATTATAAGATAAGATTTTTTTTTTAAAGAATAATGACTATTTAATATTTCTTTTTTTTGTTAAGTTTTAATTAGATTTGAATAAAGGAAAATTAACATTATGAGAGTAGAAATATTTTAAAAAGTAAAAATATTTTTTTTACAATTATCTTTTTTTTATTATAAGGGACAATTAGCATAAAATAGTTTTTCCATTTTTTTGGTTTATATTTTAAAAAGGATAATTACATTCGGTTCAGAATAGGTTTTGTTAAAATTAAAATTACTATGAATTTTTTTTAAAATTGTTTTATTATAATAAGATTTTTCTTATTTAATAAAGTATTTTAAAAAATCATTTTATTATAATAAGATTCTTTTTTTTTCGTTTTGACCTTTTTAATTAGAATTTGAATAAAAGAAAATTAGCATTATGAGAGTAAAAATATTTTTAAAATGAAAAATATGTTTTTCTTTAAATTATCCTTTTTTATTATGAGAGTATGAAACTGTTTATGTTTTTTTTTAAAGGATAATTACTATCTAATAATTCTTTCGTTTTGACCTATTTAATTAGGATTTGAATAAAGAAAAATTAACATTATGAGCGTAGAAATATTTTAAAAAGGAAAAATAAAATTTTTATATAATTTTTTTTACGATTATCTTTTCTTAATTGTAAAGAACAATTAGCATAAAATAGTCTTTATCATTTTTTTGGTTTATATTTTGAAAAGGATAATTACAATTCAGTTTTGGAATAGGTTTTTTTAAATTAAAATTACTATGAATTTTTTAAAAAATCGTTTTATTATAATAAGATTTTTCTTATTTAATAAATTATTTTTAAAAATCATATTTTAATAAAAATTATAAAAAACGTTTTATTATAATAAAATTCTTTTTTTTCGTTTTGACCTTTTTATTTTTAAAAATCGTTTTATTTTAATAATAATTGTAAAAAAAAATTATTATAAGATAAGATTTTTTTTTTTAAACGTTTTATTATAATAAAATTCTTTTTTTCGTTTTGACCTTTTTATTTTTAAAAATCGTTTTATTTTAATGATAATTGTAAAAAAGTTTTATTATAAGATAAGATTTTTTTCGTTATAAACTTTTTAGTTAGAATTTTAATAAAGGAAAATTAGCATTATGAGTGTAGAAATATTTTAAAGAGGAAAAATATGTTTTTTTAAAGAGGAAAAATATGTTCTTTTGGACAATTTGTTTTAACACATGTCACAATCTTAACTAATAACTTGCCATGTGTCGCGATCGTGTTAATTAGTAACTTTGAGAAACCAAGCTTTATATAATAAGATACATTAGATTGAAGTTTTCTTTATCCTTAACCTGTAATCGTACTCTTCAGCCAAATTGAGTTATAGGTTGCGTTATCCATTAGTTGGCTCAAGTAAAAGCCCAAATCAAAATCTAGGGCCCAATATACATCTTGTAAACCCTCCACCAGCGAAAGAAGCTCTTCACGATCTCAACAGTGGCGGCTTTTGATATAGTCGACTATAACACTGTTTAATTTTTATTTTTGCGGATCAAGAATAACACTTTGGTTAATTTTTTTTTTTTTTGAAAGAAGTAAATGAATCATACTTTTTTAATATAAATTGCAAATCATGAAACTTATGTTGAATTTACAAATTTATTGAAATAAACAAACCAATAATCCCACACAGAAAACGACCAGCCGTTTTTTAATTGATTTTATTAACGTCTTGTTTGTTTTTATAGTCTCGTAAAAAGTATAAAACCTAATATCTATTTTTAGTACATTGATCTCTCCCGGTTCTTCTCTAATCACCGTCCCGTTTCTCCATCGTCACCTTCTCGATCTCAACAATGCAATGCAATAAATGCAACGGCAGCAACTTTCAACGCGAAGAATACACAGGGAACTCGTCACAACTCGGCGGCATAGGTTGACCTCAAGGTACATACATTCGTGTAGGCACCACTGGTACAGGCTCTTTTATTGCTTACAAAGAGAAGAAGATATTCGACGCCAACAATCTTATCGAGAACATAACACAGAGGTTGCAGCTAAGTTATAAAGACGAAGAAATTAATCGTATGATTAATAAAATCACCAATGGTGAGTTCGGACAAGGTGCGTGGTTCTTGGTTTTGATCAGTGCGTGTTGTTATGTTGTTGTGAGAAGAGAAGGGAAAGACCTTTTGTCTATGGAGAAGATTCGTGAAGAATTTGGAGTTGATTTGCATCAGTTAGGGAATATGGTTAAGCGTGTTGTCGATTATTTAGGGGTTGAGTTACAAGAGTTTGATCTTGTGGGTTTGTTTGTGAAGACTGTGAATGATTCATCGAGGTTGAGTGGTGTTGGTGTTAAGAAGAAGGAGAAGGTAATGAAACAAGGGGTGTTTCTGATGAAATGTTCTTTGAAGTGGTTTTTGTTTGCTGGGAGGAGACCAATGCCTTTGGTTGTTGCGGTTTTGGCTTTTGTTTGTGGAGTGAATGGTGTGAATGTAAAGGTTGAAGATTTGGCTAAAGATTGTAAAGTTTGGTTGGTTACTTGTAAGGCACGGTATAAAGAGTTGTCGGAGAAGTTACTGAAGGTTGCTGAAGAGGTTGGTTTGCCTTGGGCGAGGGATGTTACTGTGAAGAATGTTGTGAGATATTCTGTGGTTTTATTTGGTTTAATGGAAGCAAAGTCTATGAGAAAGAGAAGAGATGAATTGGTTAGAAGAAGTGATGGGATTTGTTTGAAGGAGATAGTGAGGGATTTTGTTTAAGCAAAGAAGCTATGTCTTGTTATGATGATGATAATGATGGTCAAGACTGCATGTCAGTTTTTGAGATGGTTTCTAGTGAAGATTGGTGGAAGGGGAAATCTAAGATGAGTCAAAGGCTTACACTCAAGGAAGTGTTTGAGAAAGATATAGGGCTTGATGATGATTTGCCTCCTTCTTACATAAAGGGCTGTGGTTTGGTCCAGAGACGTAGAGAAAAGATTAAGGCGTCTAAGTTAACGATTGATGCGGTGCAACATCCTTGTGACAAAGCTAGTGGAAGTGAGTTGTCTTTGGAGCTTGAACATAGCAAGAAGAAAAGGAAGAGAGGTTCTGAAACTGATCAGGAGAATTTGGTTATAGAGACTTTGCTCTTACACAATGTGAGTGATGAAGAAATTGAGAAGGGGTATTACAATGCTTTGCTAGGTTAGCATGTTTTCAACTAAACTAAAAACCGAATCAGTTTTTTTCTTCTAATTGTTAATAGTATTACAATTAAGAATATTAAAGCATGCATCACAAGCTCTAAACCACTCAACATTCCATGAAAAAAGACCATTAAAATCCCAAAAATGTAAAATAAAATAAAATCTAAACTGCTTAAGGCTGACTACAACCCATCCTTTGATCTCTGATAATTTGAAGGTTTATTAGTTTGTATTAATCAGCCTGACATGCCATAATTTTCAAACATGATCATAAAGGTTGTAGCTATCAGACAACCCCAGATTTCCAACAAGATGCTCATCCCCTGCAAAACACACAAATCACAATAACTTCTCTGATTGTTGTACAGACACAACTCACAAGGTTTCTTGACCATTTCTATGCTGTCTGTTGAGCTTAAGTGTGAATTAAAAGGGTCTTTTTTTTTTTTTTTTACTTACTTGGGTCTGAATGGACTCCTAGTAAGTGAAGATTTGATCTCATCTCAGGGCACTGGAAGCAAAGCTCTTCATGCCTAGGACTAGTAGTAGTTGTTGTCCCAATGAGATTGTTGTTGTTGTTTCCATCAGGAAGAGCAAGAAGACCATCTGGCCTCTTTCTCTTCTCATTCAGTGTCTCAGTCTCTACCTCAGACTCACCATTCTTGTTATTAGAAGAACCAACACCAACACCATGCTGCTTCCTCATGGAACGAGCACGCCGGTTCTGGAACCAGTTGTAGGCGTTCTGTTCAGCAATCTGACCGTGTTGACTAAGCTCTTTTGTTATGTCTTTGATCTTTTGCCTGCTCGGTGTTCCTATGCCTTGATCGAATAAACGCTCCAGAATCTGAAGCTGCAGTGGCGTAGGAGTCCACCTCTGCCTAGCTGTCATCTTGTGACCAATACTTGTGTCTGCATACAATAGACCTCCCCTTCTTCCTCCTTTGTCAACACCAAAGAGACATATCAAAACAGAGTTGTTGAAGTTAATAAAACAGAGTTCTTCCTCAGAGTTTTAAGCTGCTCGTCGGTCATCACCTTCACGTATATTCCTCCTCCATTGAGTTGCTGCTTATTGTCCCAATCCATCATCTCTTTTGTCTGAACCGAACTTCGTGAGGAAGAGAAAGGTAAATGCTGAAACAAGACAAAAAGATTTATTTTTATATATGAAATTTTATATGAACCAAAACGATAGAATATTCTAATAAAACGGTAACATGAAGCTTAAGGAAACTATTTGAATCAGATTGTTATTTAGTTTCCTAAATTAGAAATTGACCGTATGTAATATGTTTATTTACGGTAACATAAACTTCTGTCTAACTTTTTCTTCTAATATTTTATTGACGAATATGTTTTACATTAATCGTATAGGAAAAAATTGTATACTTTTTCATCTCCAATTTTTTGACAATTCGCTAAGTAATCAAATTGTCCAGCAGACATTAGTCCAAACAGAACAATTAAATATTATTTTTGTGGAATTCATAATACTATGGGTTCACCATTAGATTGTTAATAATTCATAATACTCACGCTTATAGTACGACTGTATATCTTAAACATTATTCATGCTCTGGACTATTTTTAAATGTCCCCTCTAGAAAACATATCTATGGATTCACACTCTCGATTCACTTTGAAGATGTATATTCTGTGTTAGTTCGTGAAGTACTATAGGAGGTAATACATACGTGTATCATGAAGTTGGGCTAAGTTGGAGTTTGTGTTTTGTGATGTCTCTGGGCTTGTTAAGCTTGGAGAATAGGTAATAAAGTTATTGGAATATTTACATTAAGTGTAAATGATATTACTTAAAGAGGAAAAGGCAAGAGAGTTATTTCTTAAGAGAAAAAGGAAAGTTGCTTAAGTTGCTTTTGGAAGAACTTGAGGAGCAAGTTCGAGTTACCTATACAAGGAGGACGTGCCTCCATTGGAAAATGTGTCTCTGCTAACAATAAGAAAAGTTGAGAGATCGTTTTGGTGTTGCTTGTGTGATCAAGTCTTTGGTGTCATTGCTGTGCGTTAGTTGCTGACGTAGTCGTTGACGTACTTCCGGAGTTCTGGAAGATTGAAGCCTAGACTCAGGGGGAGTTTAGCTCGGGGTTTGGAGGATCCTGATAATTAAAAGTCTAGACTCTAGGGTGAGTTTTAGCTTAGGATTGGTCTAATCCTAAAGGATTCTTGTAATAGAAAAGATTGGTGTAAGACTTTCTTGTTCTAGTGAATTCGAAAAGAGAAAACGTGTCTTTTACTTTCTGCACTTTATTTGCTCTGCTCTCACTACATCAACAATTGGTATCAGAGCGGGTCACCTAACTTACTGGTGAGATCTTGAAGAGTGAGGACAGAAACTAGTTCAGGAAGAAGGAAAGAGTTTGTGATGGCAGCATATCAAGAGGGAACGTCTATGACAAAACCCCCACGTCTTGATTCATCCAATTATGGATATTGGAAGGTGCGGATGCAAGCTTTTATCAGTGGTATTGATGAAGACTGTTGAAGTTCTATTGAGGATGGTTGGAGTCATCCAGTGATGCTTAATGATGAGAAGGTTGAAGTTTTGAAGCCAAGAGATCAGTGGACTGCTGAAGAGAAGAAGGCTTCAAGTTGCAACTCTAAGGCTAAGACTGCGATTTACAATGCTATTGATGCAAGCTATTTTAAGTTGATTTCTCAATGTGCTTCAGCTCAGAAGGCATGGAAGACATTGGAGAATATGTTTGAAGGTACTACAAGTGTCAAGCGTACCAAGCTGGATATGTTAGCATCAAAGTTTGAGAATCTGAGGATGGATGAAGAGGAAACCGTGGCTCAGTTTAGTGCTAAGTTGTGTGACATTTCTAATGAATGTTTTGCACTTGGAAAGCAGTACAAGGACAAGAAGCTGGTGA